TGCAGTTTTATTTACTGTCCTTGTTATGTTTGGAGCAGAAAACAACGAAAAAGAACCGAAAGCAGACGGCTATTGTTTTCCTCCAAACCCGGAAGCAGTACAGATAAGTTCTTGGTTTTAGCATCAGGCTTATTGAAATGTACTTTTCTTAAATTTTATCCTTTAATACTTTGTTAATTTATTAAGAAAATAAAACTAAAAACTAAGTCCTAAAATCAACCTTCTACTTAATGGAGAAAAATGAGAAATCAATTACAGGCATAAGAACTGGAAAATGTCTTTGCAGATACTATAGTATGATTGGGAAACCCCACAGAATCAATTATAAAACTACAGCATAGAATAAACCATACTGGAAGTAGCAAAATATAAAATTAACACATGAAAATCAATGGCCTTTACACACCTATACAATAACCGGTTGGGGAATACAATGGTTGACAAAACCCCATTTATAATAAACAACCATAAACATACAAAAGATGTTTGACCCCACTCTAAAATGCAACTGAAAACCACACCAAGATACCACTCATCTCATTTGAGATCAGAAAAATTTTAAAGTATGCACATTCATACATTGCTAGCAGGAAGCCAAACTGGGTCAACTCTCTTGACATGGAATTTGGCAATATCGAACACAACTTTAAATGCATCTAACTTTGATCCAGCAATCCCACTCCTAGAAATTTACCCTTAAGATATACCACCAGCAATACAATGATAGATCCACCGGATTATCCACTGTTTGTAACCACTGAATACTGGAAACAACCTAGGAGCCAATATACACACAGCATGGGAGGAGGGCTGCATAAATTATGTTACACACACTCTCGCAGTGAAGAACTGTGCAGCTACTGCCATCAGGAAGTTCTCCACATGGAGTGATTGCCAGGATTTTTATACATGTTGCTTTTTTCGAGCTGTTACATGAAAAAAGCAAAGTGCACAAATATGTGTATAGTAAGTCACCTCTTGTGTAAAAAGAACATAATAGAAAGAATGGGTGGGAAGAGAGGTATAATGATCCTCAAGGGAGCACATGATCTTCCTGCAGGGGTGTCCAACCTGTGGCCCAGGATGACTATGAATGTGGCCCAACACAAAATCATAAATTTATGTAAAATATTATGAGGACTTGTTTTGTGATCACGTGTCTCAATGTATTTAATGTGTGGCCCAAGACAACTCTTCTCCAGTGTGGCCAGAGATGCCAAAAGGTTGGACATGCCTGTTACAGGATAGATCCTCCCTCACCTCCTCCCACCTTCGTGTAGTTTTCCTTACTTTACCTCCTTAATTCCAAATGTATAAAAGAAATTGCAAAGCTGTCATTCTCTGGAACATTTGAGATCTTGTTTCATGCATGTCATCAGTTTCGCTCAAATAAACTCATAAAAATTCTCCACAGGTTTGGACATTCTTATTTCAACAACACGAACTATATCATATTGTCTAAATGGAATATCTATATTGATCTGCATACACAGACAACTGCCAAACAATGATGCCTCCCCTTTTTTTCAGTGCCAAGAACCTTAAAGTGAGAATACAGAGATTTTTCTTAAAATATTTTGCTTGTTCTGTTAATCGTACAGAATTAGAGTAGGAAGAACTTAACTTATGTCTTTTCCTTGTGCCAATTCTGCTTTATCCTTTTGCTATAATAAATGACAGTTGTCAGCACAACTACATGTTTAATCCTGTGAGTCCTCCTAAAGAATTACTGAACCTGGTAGTGGTTTTAGGGACCCTGACACAAAATGAAACTATTCTGACTGCTTAAAAGGTTCGGTTTCACTGTAAAATTAAAAATGCATTTTTTTTATTTTTAATAAAGTGTAAAACAGAAAAAGGGTATATGTTCATAAGAATATCAGCATTTATTCAGTAGTATTATGGCATTTGGGTTTTTAAAGATTTAATTTAATTATGTTAGCACACACCTAGCAATCCCATTTCAAAATATACTGTTTTCCCAATAGTCGTTTTCTTATAAAACAAGAATGCCTTTCCTTACATAATAGCCATTGTGCTAAAATTGGGTATTACATAATAATAACACACCATTAATGTATCTAGTATGAAAAGGTAAAAGGAAAATTTAGAAACTCTCAAGTAGAAAAGGAAAAAACCCACCAAGGTACCTGTCAGTGTAATATGTGAACTGAACTGTTAAGAATTAATAACCTCAGAGCACAGCTACATTTAAAATATATATATTTATTTAGAGAGAGGGGAAGAGAGGGAGAAAGAAAGGGAGAGAAACATCTATGTAAGAGAGAAGCATCGATTGGTGGCCTCTCACCTGCACCTTGACCAGGGACTGGCTACAACCCAGGCATGTGCCCAGGAACTGACCTGGTGGTGCCCTTTTACTTTGTAGGCAGGTGCCCAACCAGCTAAGCCATGCTGGCCATGGCCATATCTACATTCTTAAATGGTGTCTGAAGACCAGAGCCATTCACTACTATTAAGTACAGTCTCTAATTACTTTTTCCTTTAGACTCTTTGGCATTGTAATTTCCCCTATGCTACTGTAAAAGTGATGCTGGTCCCCATAACAAACCCAACTTTAAAAGCTGTTTTACAGAGGAAGGAAACTGGGTATTAAATTGGACCTCTTTCAAGGTGTTTTGAATTAATAAGGACTTCCTCACAAGGCTGAGCAATTCTGGCTTACTGATAAAATGAACTGAATATTCCATGAATTTAAAATAGGCTGCAGAATGTCCCTTTTGAGAACTATTAGCACTGTTGCAAATAAGTTCAGAAACACAGCAGATGGTAGTGAGATAATTCACCTTATCTGCAAGAAAGCAAAGGGAGTTCGTGACACCTCGCTGACCCTTGATGTAGGTCATCTCTGGGCGTGCCTGCGCTTGTGGCTATGAATTGAACTGATCTTCTGAGCAATATAAAAATCTTATTTTTAAGTTATCAGCATTTTCAAATAGTAGCATATTACGGAAATAATGTTTTTTTGACATTTATAATGCTGAGAACATTTACACACTACTTTTCTTTTCAGAAGTGCGTGTAAAAATAGTTTTTTGGTTTTTAGACTTGGTTACAATGTGCTATAAAAATGATGTTTCCAGTGAAGTGGTAAAGGGTGACAAAGGTCCATTCCACCACGTCACGGAATGTGTTCCAGGTATGGGGTTAACCAAGAAAGTGAACCGTATCCAGTCTTCAAGGGTTATCTTAAGTGTGGAAATAGTTAACCCTGGGTTTCTTAACCCAGACTATTGTGTCTCTCTAAAACTCAAATTTTATTATGAGATCCTTCTATTAAACAAAAAACAAATTGAAAACCTTTAATATCTCTGTATCTTCAATGAAAGAAAAAGTCCAAATCGTTAGGACTGTTCTGCAAACCTCTACACCACAGAGTCCGAGCCTAACCTGCCTTTCACTTTCCCAGGAGCCCCCACGAAAGCTCCTCTTCTGTGCCCTCCTGTGGCTTTGCCTGTGGCTCCCTGCACCAGGCGTGTCTCTCCTGCCCCATTTCCATTTTCAGCTACACTGCTGCTCATTTTCCCAGTTCCATCTTAATTGTCTCTTTCTCTCAGAAACCTTTTTCAGTACTTCTAGGCAAAGAGAGTTACTCCTTTCCTCAGGTTCCATAACGCTTTTCATTCAACTTTGATACATCTTTCCCCAGCAGTTAGCAGAGTACCTTACACATAATACATGTTCAATAAATGTATTTATTTACATGGACTTAATGAAGACACACAGGCATTCAAAACCTAACACATGAGATACTCATATTTCTTAAATCAATACAGATGAATTTTTCAAAACACGATTTAGCTACTGGGAATATCGGAGTTCTTGATAAATCTCATTGTTCAGCAATTTCAAGATACAACCTATTACAATTGAAAAGCAACTGATGTTTCACCAGCACTGAAGATTTTATCTATCGTTCTTTTTAAGTTTCAAGACAACCTTCATCTTGTACATGTATACTCTACTCTCATCTTTACTCACAAGACCAGTGACCCTCCTTTTTATCTAAGAGTAGAGCTTCAATTAATGTCAACCTAATTAATCAAAAACTTTAGTTTCATTTACCTCCTACTACGTTCTCTTTTAGGATGAGGTAAACAACAAAAAAAAATTCTGAAAAATTTCAAACCTCTAAGCAAATACTAAGTATAACCTCTTACATCTTCAGAATCTGCAATACAATAGAAGGATTCCCTAGTGTGCTTCAGAAGACATTTTTCATAAGCAGGTCAAAGAAAAATTATAATATTCTGCATTCCACTGTTATTCATGTCATTTGAAATTAAAGAAAGAATGATTACATTTCCTATTAAGAACTTTAAATCTGCCCTGGCTGGTACAGCTCAGTTGGGTGGGTGCTGTCCAGCAAACCACAAGGTTGTGGGTTCGATTCTTGGTCGGGGCACATGCCTGAGTTGTGGGTTCCCTCCGGGTCAAGGTGCACAGGAAAGGCAACCCATTGGTGTTTCTCTCACATCATGTTTCGCTTCCTTTTGTTCCTCCCTCCGTTCCCCTCTCTCTAAATCAATAAGCATGTCCTCAGATGAGAATTTAAGGGAAGAAAAAAAGTGTGCCTTTGTTCCCTGGTATGGTGGGGGGGTTAAAAAAAAACTTTAAACCTTTATATCACAGTTCTTGAGAAGAGTATAAAGTCAGAGTCACACATACTTTTTCATAGAACAAATTCAGGTAAATCTAGATATAAAAAATGACCTTTTAAAAATACTTGATCATAAAAAAGTACCTTATGTCCTATCACTAGGAAAAAAAAAACTAAATATACTAAATGCTGGTTCCAGTATCACTATGCTTAACTCTTCATGAAAAGGTACATGAGTTCTTAATTCATAGATTAGAAATTACTTTTAGAATGACTGAAGTCTTGCCAAGTGTTCATTCTCCCATGAGCAAGTGAGTCAGCTACTCTTCCAGTGCCTATACCACAGCGGTCTGTTAGCAACCAGTTAAGAGGCAGTTACCTTTATCAGAGTAGGTGTGTTCTAGGGCATGCAGATCAGGCAGTAGGTGAATACAGTTTATGCAGCAGTAGGTGAAGAAATCAAGGACAACCACTTTTCCACATAGATCCTTGTAAACAGAAATAGGCCCTTCTGTGTTCAGCCATTCTAATCCTGAAATGTACACAAAACAAATGATCACAATACAATTAAAGAAAAAGGCAATTTATTTAAAACTTTCCACTAAGAGGTGAACCACTTATTTCTAAGGAGAGGATGGGGGAGGGAGAGGATAGGGGAGTAAGACAGGAAAGAGACTGTAATGAGGCAGTCTAGGTATAGCAAGGAAAAGCTACAAATTCTTCCAGAAATAGTATGATAGCCTGTGTGTGCAAGAAAATAAGATCAAAACATTTAGGTAAGAACAAGAGAAAACACCAAATATTAAGAGGGCCTAAGCACACAATTAGGTACAAATGGGCTAATGAAAATGAAAGTCAACCCTAAGAATAGCAAGACATGACTAAATACAAAAAGGAACGAAGTGTTCGAATAAAAGGATAAACATACAAAATGCTTAAACCAATTTCATAGGAGCAAAAATGCTCTAGATTTGAATGAGACCTTAAATATAAAATATTTTAAATGCAAAGTTAAACAAACTACACCATTGCTATAGATTATATGGAAGCAACATTAATACTGACCAAGAGTGTGTTCCCTGCACTCCAGATTTTTAAAAAAATCTCATTAATCAGTACTTTTGCAAAGCAGAATTTATAATTACTTGACCATTATTTACTATTTTAACTATGTCCTATGAAGACAGATTTTATTAAACTATTAAGTACAGCATCTTCATGTAACCAACTTACAAAAACAAAGATGAGTTTGTTGATTATAAATAAATAAATGCAGCTACTAAAACCATTAACTCTACTTTTTTAAAAGTAGAGTTGACATACACTATTTAATTATTCCTTAAAGCAGGTATGTGGAAGTATTTTATAGAACCTGAGAGCCAGAGTTCATGAGAACGAGTGCATAGTAACAGCTAATGACTAATAACAGTGACTGGAGTTACTGAATTATAACAAAATTCTAAACAAAGAAAAACCAAACTGCAAATCAAATTACTATTTTTTGCCAATTAATTCAACCTAGAGAGGGTTTTAAGGGACAGTGAACTCTTAATTATCCATTCTAGTAGAATTTTTAAAGATTTTATTTATTTTAGAGAGATGGGGAAGGGAGGGAGAAAAGGGGGAGTGAAACATCAATTTATGGTTGCCTCTAGCACACCCCACACTGGGAATATGGCCTGCAACCCAGGCACGTGCCCTGACTGGGTATTAAACCCACGATGCTCTGGTTCAAAAGCCTGCGCTCAATCCACTGAGCTACACCACTCAGGGCCTAATTATCCATTTTAATAAGGTGTTAACTGTATGTCAGATCAAATGATCCTATAATACTTCGAAGTAATATATATTTTACATCCTAGTTGCAAAATTTTTATGGATCTATCTTTTAAATTTATTTCCTGTAAATAGTCAAGAGTGACTTAGACCAGGGGACAGGGCAAGTACTATACATGTCAGTTATTGTGCAAGGTGCCTCTCAGGCTTAATTAGAAATTTTATAAAAACAATAATTACAATAAATGTAGTGTTAAGAGATGATAACATTTATTGAACTCTCCTATGAACTAAGAACTTTAGATATACGTATCCCCTCCAGTCCACAAACTAAACATGAAAGGCAAACACTCGTTCTATTTTGTGAGAAAGTAGGTTTGGAGAAGTCAAGTAACTTGTTCAAAATCATGCAGCTAACAAATGGAGTGACAGGGATTTAATCCTAGGTCTGCTGGCCCATCCATTATACCACACTGTTTCCCATAAACATGCGTTTCTTTTAAGACATGAACAAAACATACTGTTTTTGAGACAGAGTTATGTTTATGGCTTCTTGATTACAGCTTACTGATAAAGAAATCAAGAGAAAAACTCATCTCTGGTATTCTGTCCTCAGTCATTTACTCTAGGTCCAGTAGAAAATTTGATTGTCAAATATGAAGTTTGAATATTTTCTTAACATTTGCCAGTCACAGAGGTCAAATTTCATAGCATTGAAATACTCTCATTGTAAATACACACAAGTCTAGAAAAAAAAAGCACTGGTCTAAATCCCAGCTGATGGCCTGCCTTTTTATAAGTGTACTACATAATTAACTTCTCACCAATTTTTTTTCCAAAAAATAAGCTTTTTTAAAGCTTCTTTGATGGCATAAGCACTCATGCTCCAAAATCTTTTGTAAGAATTCTGCAATATTTCAATTCCAGTACAGGCTTACTAAAGAAAAAGTAAGCATTTTTCAAGGTGGGCGCATAAGGCTTCAAGAGACACACAAGACTGTTGTCAGAGGTAAGGTTCCGATACACCTCCCTCCCGCGAGATACTGAACCCTGCCCCGTCCAACCAATTAACTATACATGTGGTTTCAGTGTCATGCCAGGAGTCATGCCAACACCGCCAGGCCAAACGATGGCAGTCCCAACCAAAGAAGGTAAAGCAGGGTTTCACTTATCATAGCAAGACGTGCTTCACAAACAGCAGCGCTGGGACTATCTGCCCCTCGTGTTCCACTCTTGGCGCCGGTTTTCAAATCTGGGAAATGAGCCACATTTGATGCTGATTTTAAAAATTACACATTTCATGACTTGGAACGGAGAAGTGTGGCTCAGCGAACAAAGCAGCCGATCTTGGGTCTTTATAATCCGATTCTGACAGATACTGGTGGTAAGGCCTTCGGCAAATTAACAGCTTTCCTGTGCCTCAGTTTCTCAACTGTAAAAGAGGACTCATAAGTGCGCCTCCAGGGGTTGTTGAGAGGATTAAATAAGACAATACCCCTTAAGTGTTTAGTACTGTGTTTCCCATAAGTGATTCTTACTTGCTAGCTAGTATGATGCAGAAAGATGACGACGATGGAGACACCAGAATGAAAGGACAGGGTGGCATGGGCTAATCAATGTCTACCGGAGCCACTAAACATTCATGGAACGTCTAGTCAGTTACCAACATAAAGTCCCGACGGGGCTCGGGGCTCAGGCCCCCCCGAAACTCTCGTCTGCTGCCGCTTCGGGACACCTGGGAAGGGCAGAACCCGCGAGCCGCGGCTCCCGCGGGGCGAAGCGCCCAGCACCACCCCGCCTCGCCCACCGCTTCAAGGGAGGGCGCCGTCCCCGAGAAAGGGGAGGTTCTGGAGGGGTCCCCACCCCGAAGCCAGCCCCTCACCTTCCGGAAACTCGGGCACTGACAAGTCCTGCTCCCAGCCGTCCACCTTCTGCAAGTACTGATACACCAGGCTGTCCTTTTCCTCCTGGGTGACGGCATCGAGCAGGGCGTACTCTAGCGAAGTCTGAGCGGGGAGCAGGCCCGACAGGCTGCAGCTCCGGGCTCCGGGGGCCGCCATGTTGTCTCCGGACAGTCCAGAGGCGGCCGCCGGGCCCGCGGGCTAGGCTCCTTGGGCGAGACGCAGCGCTTTCTGGCCTTTGGTTTCAAAACGGCACATTCACCTCACACTCCACCAACCCCTCTAAAGACACTTTTTCTCTCTTGTAAGCATGCATTCAAACGCTAAAGTTACTGCCGTTCGCCGCCAATTCCCGGGCGCGTAATTAAATTACCGCCCCGAACCACCCCGCCCCTTCCAACTCCTCCGGCCACAGCGGAGCCTGGACTTTCAGAACGCCAGATTCAACAAGAAAAGGCCTCTGTTTAGCGTTCTAGAAGCTATAAGAAAACCGTTCCCCCGACTTTTCTTTTTTCGGACACACACACACACACAAAGAAGACAAAACGAATCCGCAGGACTTCATAGGGTACAGATTTTTTTTTTCTGGTTCTTCTTAAAGTTCGGCTCTTAGAACGGAATCAGCCGATTCGACAAGCTCTGGCAGCAGGAAGCACTTCCCGCCAAGACTGGAAAGGTAATGGAGTAGGGTAAAAGCCTCAGGAGAAAGGATTTTAGAAGTTGGGGGTGACTGGCCAACGGCTTTGGCTTGTACACAAGTTCAGTAATTTGTCGCCCTGTAGTGCTGAAAGTGCGGGAGCGAATAGAGTGTTCGCAAAGAAGGGGGAAGGGGGATGCCGAGGGTTGGGGCTGCTCCTTGGTGTGCTGTTGGTGGCAGGTGGGCTGCGGTCAAGGTCCCTGTGGGCCTGGCTTCCGTCTTTAGAAGGGAAGGCTGTGATTGCTTTTATGGAGTGGAGTGTGCTAGCAGCTCATTCCCTTCCTGCTCTGGAGGGGGTAAGGCCCCTTCCTCTAGCCTTGCAGCCTTTAGCGTGTAAAAGAGAAGGCAGAGCCTGTGGAAGGCAACGGATAGGTGAACCGTGGTGTTGACGCTGGAGGAGAGTTGACGCTGCAGCTGTTGACCTGCAGGGCAGACCACCTCTGTTGTCTTGGAATGTGACCTCAGGACAGGCACAACTTAACGTATTTGAATTTTGTTTATTGTGCAGTGTTTGTTCTTTGCTGCTGGAGGAAGATGGTGGATTGACCCAAGAAACTGAAGTTGTTGAATATCCACCAGTCATGGATAAGGGCAATTATATCTGTTGGGCATCACACACCTGTAAGATTATGTAGCAACTAGGGTTAATTAGCAAACGGAGGCAGCCATTTGGTGTTTGAAACACCTGCTGAGCTAGTCGCCCAGGGACTGTGGGTGGATTTGTGAGTTTTTTGGACAGTTGTACAGTTGAAAGAGAACTGATAGGAGTTTTATAACAACTTTACAAAGCTCGTTCTAAGACTCCCATTAGAGCTTACTTTTCAAACTATTACTGATACTTATTTTTATGAATCAAGTCCTGGAAAAGACACAGTAACTGGATGAAATAGTAGTCACAAAAATAGAAAACTTCTCAAATGCTACCCCTGTGGTAGAGTCTCCTAATTTTATTGTAGTAGGTGTTCTCAGGTCTAAGTTTTGTAGTTTGCAAATATATTCATTACCAGACCTTTAGATTCTCATCAAGTTAGTGTGTATTTTGTTACTTTTTTGAACAGCAAAATAATTCCACTTAAAAATTTTGTAGCAAGAAATAGACTCTCAATTTACTTGAGATTAGTGCTTCTTTAATGATAAAAATCATTTTACCATGTTAGAAGACACCTTTTCAGAAGAAGATATCTGGGGATACAAATCCAAAAGAAAACCAAAATCAGTCCCTGCAAATAATTGCTGTGAGAGTATTCCAAAATCTGTCAAGAAAGCAACAGATGGAAAGGATCGGTCAAAACAAAAGAGAAAGAAAAGGACTGTGGGAGCTAAAGAGAAGGTGAAGGACCCTGAAATGTGCCTTGGGGAAACAAACAGTCAGGTTTCTGTCGGTTCCAGTCAGAATTCCAGCTGTGAAGATGGTATCCAGCAGTCCCAAGGCAAGGAGCCCACCCCAGGAAAGCACAGTAGGACCAGCAAAAACAAACAAGTGTCTCCAAAGATACGTCCAGTGTACGATGGACACTGCCCCAACTGCCAGCTGCCTTTTTCCTCGTTACTAGGTCAGACACCTCGATGGCATGTGTTTGAGTGTTTGGATTCTCCATCAGTCTCTAAAACAGGTAAGATTCCAAAAAAGATAGGGGTCTTTATGCAGGCTACAGTAGGCCAGGCATATCAGTCGGGTGAAGCAAGCAAGGGAAGCAGTAAATTGAAAGAACGATGAGATACTATGAGTAAAATGACTTAACCCTAGAGGCAGACGAGATAACGTGTGTTCACCCTTCTTGCGCCTGGTGAAAAAAGATAACAGCCAACGGTATAACTGTAAAGAATTTTGAAAGCAGTCTAAATGCATTTTATTTCATAAAAGTCCCTAGCCATCTGAATTATTTTTTATAAATGCTAATTAAACACGTGTTGTGTTAGATACGCTCACATTGTTTACTTTCTTGACTCTCGCAACAACTGCACGAGGTAGGTGGCGTTGACGGTTTCTAGATGAGGGCTCTTAAAAGTTACACGACTTGTCCATTTTGTTATCTGTGATCAAACAGGCTTTCAGAGAATGATGAATATCATCCAGTCTCCTCAATGTGGTTCTGTTGGATGTCCCATACTAATGTACAGGAGGAGGAACTGGGAAGGAGTGTCAGTTTATTAAGAGTCTAATAATAAACATGTGCTAATTGGCAACTGAAGTAACACTATGTTTTTATCTTTTAAAATATATAATAAATGGCATGTTTAAAATGTAGAAAATTCACATTGGAGTATGTCTGGAGAATGGGTTGCGATGATTTGTGTATTTTACAGTTATACTGTACATAGATTTTTAAATCTCAAAGAATTAAAATTCAGTAAAGTAAAAATAATAGGACGCCTTTTATGTTAAATATGATTCAGAAGACATTTTGGTTTTAGCCTCTGTCATTTTAAAGTTCTGCATGAAAATGCAAAAGACCTCTTAAAATTTGGCATTAGCCTTTCTCATAAAAGTATGAGTGAAAGCGTCATCAAATGTTGCTAATTTGCTTTTAAGTGGCTTGAAAACCAGAAATGGAAGTCGGACTCCTACAGCACACACCTCAGGGTGAAGTGCCTTAGATGAAACCACCTCGAAGAGATTTTTCTTTCCTTTTCTTTTCTACTGTCTAAACTCTTTTGAATAGTCTCAGATTTGAAGTTTGTCCTATAACAGATACTTTTATGAGGCAAATTTAAGTTTTAAGCAATGAAGTGTTTTATTTTAATGTGACATTTGGGGGGGGGGCGGACAGGAACAAGAAGGGATCGTTGTTTTTGTAAACCAGAAAATAAACATACAAGGGCATAGGCCAAGATAGTTTACCGAATGTTACTCAATCATAATGATGTAATGGGGAATGGTTTCCAGATTATTAAGGCCTTATTATTAGTCACTTGATCAAATTGAATTTCAAATCTCAGAACAGAATCTAAATTGTCCAGGGTATGAACAGCTATAAAAGAGTGTTATTATCATTGTACACAGTGTGAATATTAAATAGTGGAATCTAATTTGCTTCTGTAATTGTCATAAATCTGTGTTGCTGCATCAGAAAAATTGGGATAGAACTTTAGGATATGTCCTGGGATATTTATGGCCTGGGCCATAGTGAACTAGTGAAACTGCTGATGTCAATTTGTAGCATCTGTTTAAGAAATACATCATGTAAGCACCACATGGACTTTTGAAGCAGCTCATACTTGTTTGACTTAGAAATACCAACTAGACCTTGCAAAAAGAGACTGGACTCTAGTTATTGTATTCTGATCTTTTGATTCGTGTTAAGATAGCTGTTATTCTAAGGCCTCAAAGTAGGGCTGATGACCTTACACTTCCATGGTAATTTATAATCCTAACACTGTCAAAATTTAGTCTGGACTTGGGTACTCTAATACTTATTTTCTTTATTACAATTTTCAGAGTGTCCTGATGGCCTTCTGTGTACCTCAACAATTCCTTCTCATTATAGGAGATACACTCACCTCCTGCTAGCTCACAGTAGGGCTGGTAGCAGTCCTTTTCCGAGCCCATCACAGGGGTCAGGTGGCAGTTTCACTGAGACTAATTCAGGCTTTCTCTGTAACTGGGAGGAAGGATGGTCTCCATATCAAAAACAAACTGAGAATGTAAAAGTTTCAGTTGATCCCTTGTTGGTGCCAGAGTGTCTTAAAAAATCTCAGTCTCCAGCTGAAACCAAGAAAAAGACTTCCTCTTCAGCAAATCCCCAGACGTCCCAACGAGCTCTACAATTCACACAGTGTGTTAGAAACGACAAACTGGTAGGAGTTGGTTCACCTCTTGCTGAAGAATTAGACGGCCAGCACACAGCACACACACATTTGCCGTTGCCAGAAAATGACTTTAGCAGCTGTGACATTTCCTACTCTCCACTTCAAAGTGATGAAGAAACTTATGGTATGGATGAAAAGCTGGACGATTCACAACAGGCACTATATTTTACACAAAGCACTGAAGGGGGCAGCCTAGAGGAAGGTGACCACAGCTGTGCTTTGTTGAGAAACTTCCACTGTCCCTTACTGAGGGATCAGGAGGAGAGCGGCCCTGGAGTGCATGGCATCTTAACCCAAGATAAATACAATGAAGAATTGTATAAATACAACACGCTGGACAATTCGTCTCAACTTTTCCAAAAGCAGAGTATTATTTGGAGTCACACTCCAGCGTGTACTGATGATGATTTCTTCTTGTTTCCGCCTGCGTTAGCCGCGGGGCTTGCTGCTGCGAGTTTTCAAGCCCCTAAAGCAAAACCTGATGAGCCAGAACTTCACTCATCTCCGTCAAATAAACAGAAGCAGATCCTTGAAGAATCAGCTGTTTACAATCAAATTTCACTCCCATTACTTAAGAGTAAAATGCCAAAACCTTTGGAAAGCCAGGGAGGAAGGTGTCTTTCTTTCCATCCCACCCAAAGTCAAATTAGAGAATTATCAAGTAAGAATCTCAGTGCTAAGAATAATACTAACTCAGCATGTTTCTGCAGAAAGGCATTCGGTGGTATGCTAGACAGTCAAGTAGATGTTTTAAATTCAGGGACATTTTCTAGTACACCTACTGCTGCCAAGTCTTTGAAAATGTTGCCATTTAGTCCTCAGTGCAGTGCAACAGACCCTTCTACCAAGGTAATGAAGCAAATGGATATAGGTGTGTATTTTGGTCTACCACCTAAAAGACAAGAAGAGAAATTAACGGAGGAAAGTGCAATAGAAGGGATGGACTTCAAGCCACTTGTAAGTCCTAATAAAAAGAGGGCGGGGCAGTGCAAGAGGAAAGCAGAAAAATCTTTAAGTGATTTAGAATTTGATGCAAAGAATTTAAATGAGAAGTGGCAATCTGTGGAACTTTCTAGTCTGAAAGCACAGCATCAAAGAAAGAGGCTGAGAAAGTCAGACTCACTACAGGAGCAAACACAGCAGAAGAGGTCAGATTACAGTATTAACAAGATAAAAGCTGGAGCAGGCAATTTAAGTCAAGAACAAGTTTTCATAAAGTCAGCTAATGGCAGGCTGCAGAGAGGCAACCCGAAAATCCCACAGATAGCTCATGCAGAAGAATTAAGAAAAAGGACTTGTCCATTCTATAAGAAAATACCTGGTAAGTTGAAATTTTTCAGACTTTCATATCCTTGTAATTATTCATGTCTTCATACATGAGTTAGTAGGAGAATGGTTAGTGAAATTAATTTTGTTATTGAATGAGCCAGTAACTTTTCTTCTGAAAAGAATATAAAAGAACACTGCCAAAATATACATGGTTTCAGAGTTTTGTAAGTGCTTTATTGATGGTTTAGAGCTATACTGTGTTCAAAATATGTAGTATTTTTGGTACATCATAGCACTAGTTTTTAATAACTATTTCAATTGAGTATGTGTGTTTTATGTGAGTCTAGAACTAGTATGCCGTGCGTTGATAAGTCTCAATAGAATCATTTGCTTTTTCACTTGTATACAATCGGGCACTTCAGGAACACACTTGGGAATTTCCTTCAAGAACACATTTTTGAACAGCTCAACCTTTCTTTAAAATTATTGTTATTGCTCCTCTAGGGAGACTTTCAGGCATTTTTTTTTCTTGTTTCCCATCCTCTCTCCCACCCTAGACAATGACCTTTGACTACTACTGATATATTGTTCATCTGTTGTACCGAGGCCCTTGGCAGGGCCACAGACCATTGTCATCCATAAGAGTATTTGGGCTGCACTCATTTTGCCCCCTTAGAAGCCTGTCCCTGTCACCCCCACCGACCTTCCCTGTCTTAGAGAAAATTAGCATTCTCCTTTGGCTATTTTGCAGAAGTAAGGAAGTCAGGTACCTGTACCTGAAAAATGCTGAAAGAAATAGTATTCAAAATAAAAAAGTAAATTGGTTTGTAATTTAATATTTTGACTTTTTGTATAATTATTCATTAAAAAAGCTATACTAGGATATTTAGTGGAAACTCACAAGGCTCGTTTTCATCTCTAGTATCGCCTTTTGCTGATTTGATCCCTTGTAAGTTTTAATTTAAATTATGAAGTGACGTTAGAAGTGAGATGTGAGATATGAGATGTGAGATGTTGGAAGGTCCCGTGTTTGTAATCCAGCTGAGTATGTTTTTCTTCGTTGCCATTGTTTAAGCGGCGATGTTGGTGTTTGCCTTGCAGGAACCGGCTTTACGGTGGATGCCTTTCAGTACGGAGCCATTGAAGGTTGCACAGCCTACTTTCTCACCCATTTTCATTCTGATCATTATGCCGGACTGTCTAAAAACTTCACATTTCCAGTTTATTGTAGTGAGGTAAATTTTAGTATTCTAAATTATGAAGTTGTGGAGTGGAATGAATTTCTACACAGCTTGGTTAAAAAGGAATAATTCTATTTGTAAGATTTATCATTCTGCTGGATGAGCTTTGGGAAAACACATTCCCCATTGAGAATCTAAAATTCAGTGAGTTATTGTCAATCGTTATAAAAGTTTTGAACAGTATTTTTAGTATATGGAAACAACAGATAAACTACTTCCCAATTTACTAAAAAAAGTGTAAGTTTCATTTAGTAAATATTTATCATGTGCCTAAAAGATACCTGAAGGCAAATACCTGAAGTAGGTAGAAGGGTGGGCTTTACTCTGTACCTGGCTAAGATGAGACAAGGTTTCATGATGAAAGAGATAATCTTGAAAGGTGAACATTTCAGTGTGTACTACTAAGAGCTTTGGCTAGACTCTCATTCATTTCGACAGCATTCTTGAATTATCCTCTTTTTATTAATGAAATAGCTGAGGTTAAGCGACATGCCCCAATCCCAGTGCTAGTAATAGCATAGCCAGAACTTGAAACAGGTCTGTTCGGTTCCAGAACCAGGCAGAGAGTGGAGTTTGTTATAAAAAGGCAGACATCTGAGAAGTAGACCCATTCTGGGCACTCCAGGTATTTCAGAATGGCTCAACAAGATAGGGAATAAATAGTAGGAGATAAACCCGCAGAAATGGGGAGGAGCCGTATCTTGAAGGGTTTTGTGTGTCCTGCCAGGGAGGGACTTTTCACAGATAAGAGAGAGCCAGTGACAGTCTTTAAGCAGAGCTGCGACACAGTCATTCATCATAGGAAGCTTTTCCTGGCATTCTGGATGGTTTGCAATGGATCTAAGTGGGGGGACAGGGAGATCATTGAGATGCTTGGGCTCTAAAGTAGATACAAAATAAATACGTATTTCGTGTTTTCGTGGATCAGCAAGCAATAAGCACATTCGGTTTTGCAGATAACCGGCAATTTGTTGAAGAGCAAACTTCGAGTGGAAGAACAGTATATCCATCCATTACCAATGGACACCGAATGTATGGTGAATGGTATCAAAGTTACTTTGCTTGATGCCAATCAGTAAGTATTAAAGTTGCCTAAGTAACAGCCTATTTTTTTTAATATTCAAAAGGAAGACACGTCAGCTTTTTTGATGGAACTAAGGTGGTATTTCTTAAAACTTGACCTAAACATGTTTCTCCTTTTGAAAAAAGTAATATACCCAATTACAGGTAAATGTAGAGATCTCCTAAATATTATCTAACCCATTTTTTTTATCCAGTTTAAGTTACTATGCTTGACATACGAGATTCCTTATTTTTAAAAGAATACGTTAACAGGTCTCTGCTGTTCTTTAAGAGATACCCTTTGGCCATTTCCTTTAATATCACTTATGTAAATTAACAGCTGGTACTCCAGACACTAGAAGGTTTTCTTTTCCCTTTAAGTCATTTTTCAGAGTTTTGACACTGAAGAACTGGAGAACTTTTTTCGGAAATCATTTTCCTCTTTCCTTCATTTTTTTTGAAATGTAAAGTACTACCACCATTTACATTGCAAAAAGGCAGCTATCAACTTTGCTTCTTTCTACTTTTCGTACAGTGTTAGCCTCATGTACATCAGAAATCATAGATGGTTAGAGAATTGAAATTGAGGCTAAATCTAGGTCTCCTAAAATCGAGGCCAGTGCTCACTCGTCAGGTTGCCTTAAGTTTTTCTCTGCTAACTTTGCTACTGATTTTTTAATCACCAGTTAGGACAACTCCAGTTCTAATTTTTTAGTCAACCTGATTGATATATAATTTCCATAAATTCAGTGGACTTATTTTCAGTGTTTGCTGAATTTTGGCAAAAGTGCACACCCATACAATTTCCACCACAGTAAGAATATAGAAACTCCAAAATGTTTCCTTTGTGCTCTTTCCATGAATCCCCAGCCCCCACCTCTGGTACCATTGACCTGTTTCTTACCACTATGGATTATATTTTGTCTTCTTAGGGATTCATCTAAGGGAAATCATATAGCGTCTACTCTTTTATGTCTAGTTTCTGTCACTCATCCTGTTTTTGAGATTTGTGCATGCAATTTTATGTGTTAGTAGCATGTTCCTTTTTTATTATTGAGTAGTATCTATTATTGTATGGATATACTACAATTTGTTTATCTCCACACCTCTTGATGGGCATCTGACTTTTGTTTATTGACTTTGTATCCCAAGAAGATCTTGCTAAATTTGTTAATTAGTTGTAATAGGGTTTTTGTAGATTCTTGAAAATTTTCTATATATTCAATCATGTCATCTGTGAGTGAAGGAAATTTTGTTTAGCTTTTTTCCCTCTTGTTTACTGTGCTGACTCAGACCTTCAGTACCATATTGAACAAGAACGGTGAGAGCAGACACACTGCCTTGTTTCTGATCTTGAGGGGGAAGCTTTCATTCTTTCTCCATGAAGTATGATGTTAGCAGTAGGTTTTTCACTGATGCCTTTTATCAGGTTAAGGAATTTCCCATCTATTCCTAGGCTGCTGAGAGTTTGTAGTCAGGATGGTTGTTGAATTTTGTCTGTGCCTCTTTGGTATCCATGTGAGCATATGATTTTGCTCCTTTCAGTGTTAGTAACATGGTAAATTACAGTGATGGATTTTTTTTAATGGTAAGCCAGCCTTGCATTACTGAGATAAAACCCACTTGGTCTTCATGCATTAGCCTTTAAAAAAAACACTTTGGTGGATTTGATAAGCTAATATTTTGCTAGGGAATTTTATGTCTGTTTTTGTGATAGATGCTAGTCTTTTTTTTATGATGTTTTTGTCTGGTTTTCATATCAGGGTAATGCTGGCCTCATGAAATTTCACTCCTCTGTTTTCTGAAAGATAGTTGTGTTGTATTTGGTATTGTTTATTCCCTAAGTATTTGACAGAATTCCCCAGTAAAATCACTGGGGTCTGAAGCTTTGGAGCAAGGAGGTAAGGGGAAGATTTTAATCACAAATGTAATTATTTCCCATGTTTTCTTAGAATTCAGAATGAAATTTCCTGTGTTTTGGCAGTAATTTCCAAACCCCACTGCATCAGGGGTCCCCAAGACCACCTCTGGGCTCAGGGGCTCACTAGGACTCACAAGATTCAGTAAAGCTGTTAATCTTGTGCAGCTTGTCACAGGACAGAAGAACAGGTGGAAATAAATCAGAGGGAAAAGGCAAACGGTAGTGAACCCGGAAGAGACCAGGGACAAGTTTGCAGGTGTCCTCATTTAGCGAGCAGCACGTGTGTGCGTAATTCTCCCAGCAGCAACGCGGAAGGACACACACGGGGTGTGGCCAACCGGGGAAGCTCACTGGGAGCTTGTTGTCCTTGTTTTTATTGGGGGTCAGTTGGGCAAGCAGTGCCGCCTGACCGAGGCAGACCTCAAGCTCCTAGACCAGAAACAGGACTTCACGGCAGATCTCGTTGTTGGCCTGAACCGGCTGTCCCACTGACAACACACGGCCCAGGCCTCCAGCATACATAGTGCGCTTCTAGCAGAACATGCCAAGGGCTCAGAACTCGTCCCCCAAGGACTGGTCCTAAAGACAGGCCTGCCTGGTGCGGAGCTTGAGAAACCGGACCTGCTGAATCGCTGACTCAGTGGTGGCGGTGGTGGTTTTGCTGTTGTAAGCTTCCTTAACCACAGAGCTACATTTTCTCTGTAGCACAATGCTTTGTCATAGTGGTCCGCTAATAAAGTTACTATTACCTTGAGAGCGAAATGAACACTCTTCCTTAGGGTGCTTTGCCTGTGCTAAGACTGTGTCTTTGAAATGCTTGTGTTCAGCTGTCCAGGTGCCGTCATGATCCTTTGTTACCTTCCTAACGGTAACGTCATCCTCCACACCGGCGACTTCCGAGCAGACCCCTCCATGGAGCGCTCTCTCCTTGCCGGCCGGACAGTCCACACGCTGTATTTAGATACCACGTAAGAGGAGTCTTGTTTGTGCTTTCTTTTCCCACGGATGGCGTTGGCCACGTGTGTTACAAATAATTTTGAACGTTTGCTTAGGTAATTAGAACTATGACTTTTTGTCAGCAGGATGCTGTTTGGAAAAAAAAATACTTGCTTAAGGACAAATTTGGGATTATAAATCATAACTGACTGCAGCTTAATTCTTCTTATAATTGCCTTTTGCAAATACGGTTTTTGTGAGGGTCTTGCCCCTGAAACCAGGAAAGGAACACACTAGTGTTCAGGAATGAACCCTTTGCTCCTCCTTTCGAGTACCTGTGACCTCAGGGCGCAGTCGTGAAGGGAGCGCTGGGGCCAAAGTATGACTCTGTTTCTGAGTAGTGTTCAGAATTTGTTTTATTCTTAAAAAGGTCAAGTGATAACTTGACCCAGTGACTTTCCCCAGTGACAACTTCTGATTCCTAAGTGCTATGAACATAGTGGTATGAGCCATTATCTTTTTATTATTTATTAAAATGTCTCACCAATTTTTTAGAAATTAATTATGTTGCCTGTTTCAACCCGTTTCAGGGAGAAATGGGTTTGGATGGCATAGTTTACTAAAAGGTAGTGTTCCCACATCCTGTTTTCAGACACTAGCAGTTTTATTATTCCTTTATGTATACTTTAAAAGCCAGGTAAATTAAGACAATAATAAGTTTTAAAAACCCTTTTCTTGATACTTAGTACCACTCTACATAGAATTTTTAATTTCTTTGTGGGTTTTTATAGGGAAAAGTATTAAGATTTTTTTCTATGCTCATGGCTGATCAGCAAAAAAATATTTTTAAAATTGGGAAAAATGCATTCCTTTGGTGTTTGCACTTTATGACTCTCCTAGTGAAAGAGCACTTACTTTTCATCTCAACTATGTATAGATGGTAGTCTTAGGGTTACTTCCTCATTGGATGTTATCGTTTTGATGTACACCCAACTGGATTTGTTAAATTCCTATAATGCTGTGTATTTTCTTTATCTTCTAATAAGAGAAGATAACCATGTTAATATTAACTGTTTGATTTAAGCTACTTCATTATATTCATGTTGTATTTTAATAATTTTTTTTACTGCAGCAGAGTTCTTTAGTCCAAAAATAGCCCCTATCCATAGATTATCTTTGATAGTGATTGGGGTTAAAGAAGATACTGAGGTTTATAATTCAGAGCTAAAATAGCTGGCCAGCTAGAAATATTTTTGAAGGAAAAAAAGGCAGTTTCTTTATTTGAAGGTGATAAAAGAAACAATGGAAAAAGTGTACTGAAAACGCATAGTCCTATTCCAAGTCGTTAGTAGCTGGTAACAGTATTTTAAGCACAGGGAGTGAGAGAACTCGCGGTGTTTACATCACACTGCTGTCGCAAGTCATCTTGTTGGGGCTTAGTTTCTGAAAGAGCATCCAGTGGAATGCTGTGGCTTTCTCGTTGCTCTCTGACGAAGTGCCGTGTTTCCGTGTTACAGATACTGCAGCCCAGAATACTGCTTTCCGTCTCAACAGGAGGTTATCCAGTTTGCCATCAGCACTGCCTTTGAGGCCGTAACTGTAAACCCGTGGACTCTTGTCGTCTGTGGCACTTACTCCATTGGAAAAGAGAAAGTCTTCCTAGGTAGGTGTTAGCTGTATCTAGTTTACATTAATATATTATAAAGATCGGCTCTTTTTGCATAAAGCGCTTTCAGTCTCTCTTCCTTGTGCTTGATATTGATTTCCTGAAATGGTTCGTTATTGCCTCTGAAGTTGAAGGAAAATTTGATAGTGTAATTCATTTAAACTTTGAAAGGATTAACTTAATGGAAACATTTGATATGTGTTTATGGTAGCCTTCATATCCATAAATGTTGATGTAGCAAATGCCCATGCTCCATTCATATTTTAATAAACTTTGAAAGATGCCTAGTACATAGTTGTGTTATTACACTATTCTTTTTTTCCTTGCATTACTGCATTCTTTGATGAAAACCATCAATTACTTATCTTAGAGAATAGTTTTAATTTTTGTTCCTAAAAGATTTCTGGATATGTAACTGTAGTTTATCTAAATAGTACTGAACTATTTTGCAGAATACTTTCCATTTTTTCTTACATTAAGATATGAAGTGATGAGCCCTGGCTGGTGTAGCTTCAGTGGATTGAGCACAGGCCTGCGAACCAGAGGATCACAGTTGGATTCCCAGTCAGGGCACATGCCTGGGTTGCAGGCCTGTTCCCTGCAGGCCAGTTCCCAGCAGGGGACATGCGAGAGGCAACCATACATTGACATTTCTCTCCCTCTCTCCTTCCCCTCTAAAGATAAATAAATAAAATCTTTAAAAAAAAAAAAGATACAAAGTGATGAAACCAGAGTTTTAACTCCTCCAAATTTGGTTTCTCCCCTTCTCCTATCCCTTTCTTTACATATTTTGCAGTTTTTAAAGATTAGGTTTTTTCATATAAATTCTTTGGTTTTCGTACAACTTATTCCACACAGTTAACCAACAAAATTATTCAGCCTTTTTGAGATGTTTGGCAAAAATATGAACAGTTTGAACTTGTTTTTATTTGGTAAAGTCTTATTTTAAAATTTGTTTAAGTTGTCATTATTTTTCATAAACTGTAATTTTAATATTTTAACCTTTTTCTTTGCCTATAGCCATTGCTGAAGTTTTAGGTTCAAAAGTAGGCATGTCTCGAGAAAAATACAAAACACTACAGTGCCTCAATATACCAGAAATGAATTCCTTCATCACCACAGACATGTGCAGTGCTCTCGTTCACCTTCTCCCGATGATGCAAATTAATTTTAAGGTAAGTACCCAAGAAATCTGTCTTTTTAGGATGAATGAGAAAAGGTGATGTGATGACTGTGAACTAGAACCCACTTCCCTGCATTTAACGTAGAAGAATCCAACAACAGTGAAGTCCTCACCTATAGTAAATTTGCCCTAGAAAATCTTTTCCGGGAAATGAAAGTGTTTTTAGTTTTCAGTGTGTGCAGCTCCACAGTGGAGTCCACATGCTTACCAGGAGGTTAGGGCTGGAGAACCAGCCCAGGAAATAGACTGAAGAGTATGAGGCTGTCTGGGCATTCAGACATCCTGTTCCTAGACTGGTTCTCCTGATTCTTCCCTGGGTGAGTGGGGAAGGAAGTGGAAAGTTCTAAGGGGTTCTTACTCTTTCTCAAGCCTATTCTGTGTTAATATCAAGCCCTTATAACATTGACATATGTTGGATATTTGCATGTAAGGATTCGATAAAATAGTGGAAGTGCCTCATAAGAGGAAGGCCTAGTGTTCGTTTTGAGGTGTAAATTCAGATGCACAAGATACGACCTCACCTTGATTTGGGAGGGTTGTCAGAATTATTCATATACTAAGATTTATTCTGTTTGCTGACATTTTAACACCTAGCAATGGATCACACCTAGCACAGGTTTAATTCATCAAACCTGTGTATTAAAAACGATTCAGAATATAATGTGCACAAAAAGATGTTTTGTTTTTGTTTTTTTTTTGTATAATGTTCATGAAATACTTTTGTGGAGCTTTTTGAACTAGCTTGGGATTCTGATCACTGCATCTGTCTTAAACATGATAACACTTGTATTTTGTAAAGAAAATGAACGTTTTAGGTCTACCCCTTGAGTAAGGAAATTCTAACTGGTTCATAAGATGAAGGTGAAATCTTTATGGCCTTTTTTCATGAGTATGTAATTCATAAGAAATTTCAGAGGTACTCAAGTGAGAGTTTTGTTCACTGGTGTGTATGCCAGCCTTGCAAACTTATTTTACTTTTAAAGATTTTATTTTATTTATCTTTAGAGAGGGGAAGGGAAGGGAGAAACATCAGTATGTGGTTGCCTCCTTTGCGCCCCCAACTGGGGACCTGGTCTGCAACCCAGGCATGTGGCCTAGATGGGGAATTGAACTGGAGACCCTTTGGCTCGTAGGCCGTCATTCAATCCACTGAGCCACACCAGCCAAGGCACAAACTTATTTTAAATTTGGGAGGCATCCAATTTGTGTGGAGGCTAATGAGATGGAGATTAATCATAAAACGAACAGATATCCTAAAGAAGCTATATAGCATTTCTTATTTTATTTAACAGCTTTATTATCTTAGTCTGTTCCATCTGAACAAATTACCCATTTAGGAAGACAGTGGGGATGCAGGAGTATTATGGAAATAAAAGGCGCAGACCTTTACACGAGTGTTTAAAAAGTGCCCTGTGCTGCAGAGAGGTCCTAGAAGGAGGGTAGTTTGGCACATCTTTGGGGACTTGTACAGGAACTGTTGCAGTGAAGTGACACTGGAGAAAGCCAGATGGCCCAGGGCCAAGGAGGGAATGAGAAAGTATACAGATGACCAAATGAATGAGAAGATACATAAATCGCCAGTAAGCACATGAAAAGAGGCTCTACGTGATTAGCCAGCAGGGAACTGCAAATCAAAACCACCGTGAGACACCGCTCACGCTTCAGTAGGATGACCGTGATGAAAAAGATAGGCAAGGCCAATTGTTGGTGTTGATACAGAGAGATTAGAAATCTCGTTCGTTGCTGGTGAGACTGTGAAAGGGTGCTGCTGCCATGGAAAGCAGTTTGATCATTTCTTCATGAGTTCAGCATATGGAGTGACTGTATTACCAGCCATTCCAGTCCCAGGTATGTGCCCTAGCAAACCAAAAACACGTCTACACAGAAATATCTGTATGAAATATCTGTTTATAGTGGCATTATTCATAATTACCACAAAGTAGAAAGAACAGATGCCCATCTAACGATGAGTGGGTAAACAAAATATGATGTCCATGAGGTAGGACTATTATTCAGCTGTACAAAAGTAGTACTAAATGTGCTACAGTATGAATTAGTCTTGAGAACGTTATGCCACGTGAAAGAAGCAGACACAAAACACTGCATTTTGTGTGATTCCGTGTATATGAAATGTCCTGAATAGGTAAACCTGTAGAGGCAGTAGGTAGATAGTAGTTGTCAGGGCTTAAGGGAGAGGGAATGGGGTGCGTCTGTTAGTGGGTGGATGTTTCTTTGGGGGCGATGCAAATGTTCCAGATTTAGATGGTGGTGATGGTCACACAACTTTGTAAATGTGCTGAAAACCACTGAACCACCCATTCAGAAAAAAGACTGGACGGGCATTTATCTGCCCTGAAGACCAAAAAAACAAGGGGGGGATGGAATGGATAAGTGAAGAAAGGGAGGCGTAGGTGATGGCTGTGACGCAGAGCTGGATGTGTTGCTGGCACTAAATGGGGTTTGCGTGTTTGTTAGCTGCAGGAGAAGAGGATTTCATACGTGAGGGACATGGAGAAACTGGAGATATGTGAGAGAGGGGAATAATCAATGAAGTAAGTCTTCTGAGAAGGATCTGGAAGCACCATTAAGGGGAGTCATTAGCCTTAGCGAGGAAAACGGTCACCTCTTCGTCTTTGACAATTAATTCCCTTGAAACCTACCACTTTTACAGACTGTTAGTACTGACATGCATTGTCTGCTTTCAGAGATCAGATAGTTACAAATCCAAACTTAAATGAGAATTAAATCTCCAAACAACTTCAAATTCAAGTTCCATTTTTAGTACAGGAATTCAGATCGGTTTTAATGACTCAGAAGTGTTCCTTTTGAATCTGCCTGGAATTTTTTTTAAGAAGTGTTTTGGAAAAAGGAATGATCTGCTCCCGTTGCCTACTTCTCCGTATTTGTCATCCGTTGTTGGTATCGCCTTCAGGAGACTTCTCCCTTCCTCCAATAAAAGAACCAGATGTTTATAACATTCTGACAGTTCCTTATCTTCAGAACACAGGTAGAACAGAAGTTGGTAGTTACCGTGAAGCAGTATTTTAGTGAGTACTTAAAGCTATTCTTTCACTGGCCAAAAATAGTTTTGTTGCATCGGGGCTGATGCCTCTCTGTAAAAATATACAATTTCCAGGGTTTCTAAGGTATGCTTTGAAAGCCTTAAAAACTCTATAAATAAAACCCTTCATTGCTGTCCAGCCCAATTTTACAGCATGGACATTATAGGGAGTCGACTACCACCCTGACTTAAAGCAGCTGAGTGCGGTACAACCTTATAACAGTCTTACATGGGATTCTAGTGGCATATACGGAACACAGACTGGTTCCAGTAAACAGAGATAAGTCATAGATCAGGAACTCTGTGTTGACAAAATCATTCTTAATAGTAAAATCCCTGATGATAGTAGTTCTCCTTTGGTAGTTAATGAATGATTAGTGGCTATGGGCAATCTTTTCTATGTGTTCAGCTCATATCATAGTGTATGCGTTTGTTTGTGACATAGGTTAATGATATTTTTGTGATAATAGTAGTTCGTCTTTTGAAAAGCAAAAATTAGCCCTGGCTGGTGTGGCTCAGTGGATTGAGCATTGGCCTGTAAACCAAAGGGTCAGTGGTTTGATTCCCAGTCAGGGCACATGCCTGGGCTGTGGGCCGGGTCCCCAGTGGGGGCCACATGAAAGGCTGCCACACATTGATGTTTTTCTCCCTCTCTTCCTCCCCCACTTCTCTTCTCTAAAAATAAAAGAAACGAACTCATTAAAAAAAGAGAGAGAAGCAAAAATTACTCCTCATTTAATTCTCCTGAGTGTTTTTGCAGAGAGAAATATGAATGGATAAGTTTGATGACCTATGTTTGAAAGTTGGATTCTCAGCTTATGGTGTCACAGGTATAATTGCTCTAAACCTCAGTTTCCTCTTACTTCCTTTTCTTTGTGAGGACAAGGGGGAAAGGATTAGCAGTTGAGCAAATCACATTATATTTGCTAGTTCCTAGACTAAGCAAGACAAAAAACTTGAAAATTTGCAAGGTCAAGGATAGCGTAATGAAAACTTAGTTATATATCTATAACAAACTTTGGGGGGAGCAGTAATTGGTAAGAAATACAATTGTTTAATGGTATTCTTGTATTGACTTCAAACTAATAAAAGATCATTGTTTGACAGAAAAGATAAAGAATTGTTATTAATTTATCAGTAAGATATAAATGGCTGATAAACACAATAAATGTCCATCCTTTTACTAGTAGTCAAACATAAAAGTGCAATGACAGTGATATGTTTGTCTTTTACCAAATTGGCATTTTTTAAAGGTAATATTTCTATGCTGCTGTTCAGAGAAATTGACTTGGATAGTAGTAGAAATTAGGGGTAAATGCTTGAACTCAACAATTCCATTTCTAAGAATTTATACTAAAAAATGAGTTCTTTGTAAAAAAGGTCAAACCGTAAGGCTCCTAGGTGCTGGTGGTGCATTAGATGAAGAGAGTTAGGAAAAGTTGAGAAAGGGCAGATGGTTTCCATTACAGAAGACCCCGAAGGTGAGGTTTATTGACTGTCTCCTTCCCACCTAGGCTGTAAGCGTCCAGAAGGTGAAGGCTGCCTCTCTCATCCACCACTGGGACCACAGCACCGGGCACTAGTGCTGGGACAGATACTTAATGGATGAGGGAATAGGCCGGTGGATGAATGGGTACCAGCGTCTTTTAGAACACTTCAGTGGTTCAAAGCATGTATGATTAAGGAAGAAAAAGGAGACTTTTGGAAATCCAAGATGACACGGTGTGCAGTGTAGATTTTTTTATTATTTTAAGTAAAACTAGAATTTTACTATAAATTTACAGTAAGCTTTTGAAACTCTGGGTTTAGTGGTAAGACCAAGAGTATTAGGCTTTTTAAATATCTTTTGTGGCATTATTATCTTTAACTGGATTTCTTTTCTCTTTCCAAGACTGGACTTTGGTTATTGATTCTCTAAGAATTTTATCAAATATCATCACTGACAATGACTTTAGATAGTTTTATATTCTACTCATGATTTGTTAGGGAAGCATATTTCTTCCAAATGCAGCAGCATGAGGAGTTTTAATATTATTTTAGTTCAGACTTAAAGGTGGAACCTGAGAAGAGTACCACTATGCATCTTTAAAATGTATGTCCGTGTTGACTGTATAAAATTATTTCCATCTTCCTGTTTGTCTGTTAGTCTTCTGAGTAGGTGTACATGCACAGGAATATGTTTGGATTGATGTTTATCAGGGAAAATACCTGTATCCAATAGGAATATTCTTAGGTCCTGGTATGTCAGATTTTAATATCCTAATATTAGTAGGATTTGGAAAAAATCCTCACCCAAGAACATGCTTATTGATTTTAGAGTGAATGGAAGAGAGGGAGAGAAATATTGATTGGTTGACTTTTGTATGTGCCCTGGGCGGGGACCGAACCCACAACCTAGGCATGAGCCCTGACCAGGAACGGAACCCGTGACCTTTTGGCTTGAGGGATGATACTCAACCAACTGAGCCACACTAGCCAGGGCTTGAATTGTAATTTTGAAATATATAATTACTTATGTAAAGTTGTCCCATCTTAGTTTTTTTTTCAGACTATTTTTAAACATGCTTAACTTAAAATAACTAAAGTTAAAAATATTTTTTTCAGTGATTTTATGTTTTTGAATTAGGACACTAGATTATTGCGAGCTAACGCCCGCCAAGTGCAAACTTCCCATGATTGTGCCAGTGTAACACGTTTAATCATTCCTGTATCCCACGTAACCCATCTTCTGTGACCCTTGAATCGATATCCTGTTTTTATTTAACAGGGTTTACAGCGTCATTTGAAGATGTGTGATGGGAGATATGATCAGATTTTGGCTTTTCGACCTACAGGATGGACACATTCTAATAAATTAACGAGTATGACAGATGTTGTACCCCAGACCAAAGGAAAGATCTCAATATATGGTAAGATTTTTAAATTTGCTCACTTCTCATGTTTGTAATTACATTTTTTAGAAGGGCTGTAAAATGAAAGATGAAAAAAAACAGGCATGAAAGAATCTTGAACAATTTAAGAGTTTCAGGCTGCTCTGTGAACCCTAAACCCATGTCTTCAGTGTGTAATAACCTGACATAAAGGGTTGTGACCAGAGTAGACAGACACTGACCCACAGAGGCCCCGCTGTTTGCGGGGTCAGTGAGCTGGAGAGAATACTCGAGGATGACCCGAAAGGAGGGTGGCACAGTTTGCGCTGCACGTTTGGGTGGCCCTGTGAAGCCCAGGGCGACAGGACAGTGGGTGTCGATGCGGTGGCCATCAGAGTCATAGACTTGACTTGAATTTTGTTCGTCTTGTCCGTAGAAGTGGGCTTGCTGCAGTGATGGCTGATGGAAAGACAATACGTCACTGGTCCAGGGACTTACTTTCCAAAGACCCCACTTTACTCAGCACAGGGCCTTTCTCCCTGTTCCTGTGGCACTTGATCTTCAGTGAAGAGGATGAGGGGATTTTTTAAAGGGTTCGATTGGGTTTATTTTGCTTATTTTTTATGCATGCAAAGCTTGGGGACTGGAATCTGCTTTCTTGCTCTGGAAGTCAAGTGTCTCCTGCTTATTCTTCAAATTTCACTTGTATTTTTTCTAGTATTTTCTTGAAATTCATAGCTGAGCAAAGTGCTTACAGGGAAGAATTATTTAAAAGGTAAAGTCTAATTATAAACAAGAATCTATAGAAATGCATATTATCATCTACATAGAAAATTAATAGAATTTTTTAATGTTCAAAGTTTTGTATCATTTTAATGTCATTTAACCTTTGTTTTTCATAAAAGGTAAATTTTATTGTCAGAAATAAAGCATCAAGGAGTTTTCAAAAAATAGTCTGGATTGCTTTCCTTTTATTTTGCACCTGTGAATTCTGTTTATCGATTTGATTTTTAGTAGGCGATCTTTTCTTTTGTATTGTAGGGATTCCTTATAGTGAACACAGCAGCTACCTAGAAATGAAACGTTTTGTTCAGTGGCTGAAGCCCCAGAAAATCATACCTACCGTGAATGTTGGCAGCTTAAAATCTAGGAGCACAATGGAGAAATATTTTAAAGAATGGAAATTGGAAGCCGGATATTGACGTTCCCTCAAAGGACTCGGGAGTAGTTAAGTAACTTAGGTATAGCTTGTTAATAGTTAAATATTTAATGATAGGAGATACACCTCATGTGAAAAACCTCATGAAGGTCACTCATGTAGCTTATTTGATTGTTTACATTTGAACAGCATGTTCATGGTGCCTAGCGCCTCTCAGCACCGTCAGGGGTAACTGAGGCTGGCCTCCCTGGCACCCTCGACTCTTGCTTGCCCTTTTCAGTGGGGGCAGTTATACTCTGCATCCAGACTTAACCAAGGAAATAAAGGCAGGTTCAGGGACCAAAGGGGGTCATTGTAATGGATAATTAGATTGGAAACATTATATATAAATAATTATGTATCTTTAAAGTTATTTAATATGGGGCATATTTGTATGAGCTAAAGCTTTTATATATGGATATGTAAAAATAAAAAGTTCTAAACTTGCTATATAGTGTCTTGGTTTTTAGGATTTATAACTGCCTTTCATGCGATTTTATAAAATTCCAGTAGAAGTAATTCAACATTTTATTCTGAAGAAGATGATTCAAAGAGCCAAGATAATCACCCAGTAAAAGACGGAGGAAAGTTTCCCTGAATGATGTTTATCTGAACTGTTTACTGAAGATACCAGATAACTAAAATTTTACACTGTGGTGTTTTTTAAAGTAAGATTATATAATTTTTTAATGAATCTTTATCTCTCCAGCACAGATTAAATAACTGATTCAAAATGAAAGTTTTAGGCTAATGCATGTTAAAAATGTTTTTATTGGGTTTAACTGTGAAAATGGCTAACATAATGAATATATGTGTATGTGTGGATTTGAATGCTTACGTTACCTCTATTTGTGGCATTAACTTGGGGAGTTCTCAGGAATTTTTCCATGGGCAATTATTTTCAGTAATGATTGCAGGCACCAGAAGGACGGAATTCTCCATGAACTTTGTTTTCATGAGCTTGGATTTGACTTTATTGTGGAGGTCAGGGTCGTAGGGGTCACATTCAGGGGAGGAAAGGTTTTCAGGGGCACAGCGGTAATGAATTCAGTTTAACTATGTTCCCAGTTAACTTCAGTAATATATTTAACATATTTTAATTTGTTTGGACGTGGTGCCTTAAGTGGTGCTGTTTGTGTTCAAAGATGCTTATGTACTGAATGAAGGCTGAGGCTGCCCGTAACTAACAGGCCCGGATTATCAAAGGGAAACATTCAAAATCATTACCAACGAATGAATAAAAATTCAAGGGAAAAAACTGTTACTCAAATAATAAATAATAAATGACCCCAAGTGATTTGATCTTCTCCTCTAGGTTAAAAATATCAAATTTGTAGAATCTTTCAAGTTTTTTTCTAATTATGACTTCATTAATAACTTATGGAGAAGATCAAATCACTTGGGGTCATTTATTATTTATTATTTGAGTAACAGTTTTTTCCCTTGAGTTTTTATTCATTCGTTGGTAATGATTTTGAATGTTTCCCTTTGATAATCCGGGCCTGTTAGTTACGGGCAGCCTCAGCCTTCATTCAGTACATAAGCATCTTTGAACACAAACAGCACCGCTTACGGCAGCTTAGAATGGTTCGTTTCGCTGCTGCTGCTGGAGAACACACCAGGCCTCGTTCAGGGGCCACGCCAAGTAGTTTTATAGGTAAGTCACAGTCACAGTCCTCACCACAACCGAACTCTTCTAGGCTCTGCTGAGTGCGGTATATGAAATTTTTTCTTACAGTACCTAAACTTGGATGGGTAAAAATTTTCAAGTTTCAAATGAAGTGGAAGGAGAAATCTACTTAAAATAGTCCCAAATAGGGCCTCGCTGGTGTAGCTCAGGGGATCAAGTGCGGGCCTGGGAACCAAACAACCACGGTTCGATTCCCAGTCAGGTTACATGTCTGGGTTGCAGGCCAGTTCCCAGCAGGGGACATACAGGAGGCAACCAAAGATGGATATTTCTCTCCCTCTCTCTTTCCCTTCCCCTCTAAAGATAAATAAAATCTTTAAAAAATAATAATAACCCCAAATAAATGGGTGATAGCTCTTGAGCATCCCAAATATGTGTCGAGAAGGGAAAGTAGAATGAAGCCAACACGCGGGAATGTGGTTTACTGTATATGAATGTGTATTTGGAACCTCTCATAGGGCTTTTTTACCATCTTACCTGACACGGATCATTGAACTACCAGGTGCAGTGACAACAGGCGCGTTTCAAGTTCTCATGAGTTTGATATAATAGGAAAATATTTTCCATTTGATGTCAGTGGCTTTAGACCTAAGTTATTTATCGCTTACTCTATATATATTAATCTTCTGGTTTTCGGAATGATAATTTAAATTAATGCTTTGTTCAGTTATTGGTTTATATTCCTGTAAACCAAATCCATTCAGAATTTCCTTCTTTGGTCCCAAATAACCATCAATAACTAGACTAAGGAACTAAGAAGAGAATCAGCCCCAAGGAATGATCCCCGAAATGATTTGTCTTGAAAGAATATTGATACTTGGAGCTTTTTAGGTGGATGTACTATTTCTCATTCAGTTCATTTGGTATTGATCTTAGAAAAATTCTGGTAAAGAACTGATCTGAAGTCAGCAAAACCACAAGTTAATGGTCGTAGGTAATAGTTGGCCAGTTTGGGCATGAGAATTAATTCCAGCCTGAAAAGTCGGAAGCTTTTAACTTGGTGATCATTTTAATATGCTGATTATGTTTCATCTTTCCCTTAGCATCCATCCCTTCCTCCAGAAAGTGTATATAATTTCTTTCTCTAGTAACTCATTCCCCCAGTGATTTCACAGCTCCATTTTTGGTAAGTTAGAAATAATTTATAAATCATATGTTATGGAGTATAAAACCTCTTTTGCCTCACCCTAGTACCTGCTGGATTCATAACATCTAATTATGTCTTGTTTTTTTTTCTGTTTCAATGAATTGAAATGATTTTTTTCTAAATAAAATACTGTTATAGCTTTGTTTTAATATACATGGAAACATAAATATCACAACCCGAATTTAAGAGAGTACATTTTAAAGAACTTCCAGATCACCAATGTAGAGCTAATTAGTCCCAGTTTTTCCGAAGCACCAAATCCTAGAGTCCTTTGCAATCCTTGCTCCAGGATGCTGCAGGCACTTTCGGGACAGGGCCCACACCACATTCGCTTTATGATTTAGTACCTTTTTCACCATCTGGTCCAGAGACAGTTCTAATGAATTGCCAATGAACCGGAAATAAACAGTGAAAAACATGTACCATCCAAAGTTCAAGAATTCGACTTCCAAATTCCTGTATTTTCTTCAAATGAAAATAGTCTTATTCCAGAAGAACCACTCACAATAAAACATATTGAAACTACTCAGTTGATTGTTTGGGTGCACTGAAATATCTGGTATGTAAGTCTGGTTCAGTGTAGGACCAATTTAGAGAATAAACTTCTCTTTTTTGGCCCACCTTTCACTTGAATTTGTCGCTAAAATCAGTCATTGAGTATTTGAATCCTTCCTCTGGAAACTTGCTACTTAATCGATTAGCCGCTCTGTGCCCCACACTGTTCCTGGTGTGGTGGGAATTTAAAAACACCTAAGCACACTCTTTGTCCTAAATATAACATGTTTTTATCAAGGAAAAAGTTTTGTAAAGTCAAATTGTTATCTGTATAAGCCCTTTTGTTATTGAAATTGGGAAGCAAGAGCTTCAGATCGTAAAATGGCATCAAAGCAGTGCTTTAATACACTGTTAGATAGTGTTATTAAACCGTCTTTTTAAGTTTGTTTGAACTGTTTTGGACTTCCCGTTGTGGCTCCGAGTGCTGATTACGTATCCACAGGATAAGGAGATAAAATTGTAAATGAACTAAAAGCAGCGGTGTCTGGGAGGGGAATAATGGCCACATACCCCCCTGTTGCTGAATGAGCCAATTATTTTATTAGTGTCTTTTATTCATGGAACGAGAGCCGAACTCTTTTGTTTAACAGCTTTATTGAGATATAATTTCACATAACTTCACCCATTGTGCAGTACAGTCGTTTTCAGCACATTTACTAGAGTTGTGCAGCTGTCATCATAATCAATTTTGGGTTATTTTTGTCACCCAAACAGAAATTCCATACCCTTTAGTAGTTATTTTCTCGTTCTCCCCTCCCCATTCCCCACCATCCTGCCTCTTTTCTTAGGCAACGACTAATCTTCGTGACTATAGATTTAGTTATTCTGGACATTTCATATCAATGGAACATAACGTGTGGTCTCTTATGATTGACTTTTAGACTTAACAGTGTCGCCAGGTTTCAGCCCTGTTTAGCTTGTTTCAGTACTTCATTCCTTTTTATGGTCAAGTAATATTCCAGTGTTCAAAAACACCACATTTTGCTCATTCGTTCATCTTCTGGTGGGTATGTGGGTCGTTTCCACTTTTTGGCTATTATGATAATACTCTGTTAACATTTCTGTACAAGTTTTTGTGTGGACATATATTTTTATTCTCTTGAACATGTATACCTAAAAGTGGAATAGCAGGGTCATGTGGTAACTATGTTTAAAGTCTTTGAGTGGCTGCCAAATTGTTTTCTCAAATGACTACACCATTCTTCATTCCCACTGGCAGTTCGTGAGAGGGTTCCAGTCTCTCCCCATCCTCACCAACACTTGTTATTGTCTGCCTTTTTGATTCCAGTGTATTGGTGGGAGTGAATTTCTATCTTGTGGATTTTATTTGCATTTCCCTAAGATGAATGTTGACCATCTTTTTACTAACCCTTTTTGAAAGAGGACGCTTTACAAAGAACTCATTTACATGGTTCTAAAATGTATTATTTAGGCAAACTATTGAAGCAAAATAGTTTTATAGACTTCGGCCTAGATTTGCTAGAAGATGATGATGTTTAATAATGACAAGCCTACAGTTTTAGTCCAGTGGGAATTATTTGAGGTAATAACAAGATAAATGTGTAAATGCATAGCAGCATAACAGGTGTTACGAAGTGGTTGTGTGCACTGCAGGTAAGACAGACTTACTGCCCCAGCTTGCAGAGGGGGGTAAAATGATCTCTGTAATTATAAGTTGGAAAGGGAGGCTTGAGATAGGAAGGTTTTGAGTACCAGGGTAGATAACACCAGCTGACCTTGAATAAGCAATGTCATGTACAAAAATGGCCCACAGTAGTGATGTGAACAGATAAATGTGAATCTTTATCCAGTTTTTAAACTTTAAAATTGCAGCATAGTATTTGAGATCTTTTCTGAAAACTAGATAATGAAGTAAATAACTTACTGGGTCCTGTTTAGCCCTATATCCTATTATTATGTATTTCCTGGTTACCATCAAGTTCTTTAACAGTGCATAATAAAAGTATAGTGTTTTAGACAACTCAGCTATTCACATGTTATGAGAATAGATCATCTTTTTGTCTCAAAGCTATTGAGCTAAGATGAATGTTAACTTTCATATAAGAACTCTATACTTATTCCAGGTTGTGTCCTAGTAATTTATTCATGTGTATTAAAACTTTAAACATGTTTCTGACAAAGAACAGGTGAGATTAAGTCAGGAGTCATTAGAAGGTCAGCATAAAGTTTGTTTGTTTTGTTTTGTTTTTGAATCACTGTTGAAAATCCCTGGGCAAGAGGAAACAGATGGGTTGGTTACATTACCCTTGCTTTGCCAAATAAACAGTTGGGGAAAATGTGAAATACCCTTTTGCTGCGTGTTTGCCTCTAGGCTAGGATGATGCTTAATGTTAACCGTGCTGGTCTTTTCAGCTGCTTGATATTTGATGGTAGAGGCTTGAAATCTTTAATGCATAGCATGTAAAAGTTTATTTGAATATTCTTTGGGCAACTCACTCAGGGAACATCTACTGGATGCTAATTATGTGTGAGACACCGTGCTGGGCTGGGGAAGGAGCTGGGTTCCTTAGGGAAGTCTTCAGAGACCAGGCGTCATCGGACTGAAGGGGTCCGTTTGCCTACACACAGCAAAGCCCGATCAGACATAGACAGGAGTGGAAGGAGACCGGTGAGGAGCTTGGGCTGTAGGTTATAGATTCCCGGTGCTCATTCATGCAAAGTCCGCGAGCAGTTGGATCTCCAGGGCTGCGAGGTCTTGGCTAAAAATAGGTTTGAGAGTTACCAGCATAAAAATGGTACCTCGAGTCAGAGAGGGAATAGTATCTCATTAGAATATATACATAGGGTGGGAGGAGAAGATGGGACAGAGCCTCCCAGTGACTCCCAAATTAAAGGACAGAGGCCACACA